GCATTCTTCCAACGAACTTTTTGTAGTGAGGATCTTTGTTATTGCCTAAAAATTTCTGTACAACTTTTTAAAATGCAATCCACCCTTCTTTTTGAGGATCCGCTTATGTATATATTGCTGACCATCAGATTTACAGTGCTATATTTTTTTTACATAACTCAGACAAACCCTTTAAAGGTTTTTTTGGCATTTTATATCTTAAATGCACTTATGTGAATTAATTAATAGTAATTTGGACTTTAAATTTGGTTAAAAACCCATAATATAAAAGAAAATACCAAAAATTTTAAAAAATTGATAAATTTGAAGACAATTTTGCATGTTGTGGCAAATCATGATATCTAGGAGTTTTTTCAATATTTTATTTGTTTTCAGCACACCAAAATACATGGAAATTAGATGAAAATAATCAAATAGCTTTTTAGTCGCAGACCTGTGATTGGTTGATTGCCCTTTCGATTTATACTAGGAATTAGCTTCTGAAAATTTGTCTCCCTCCCCCTCCAGTTTTAGTTTAATGCTCTTTGGATATGACTAGCCACTTGGTTTCCAAAGACATTCTTCAGAGTTCTTATAAGTAAAACCCATCCCCTGACAAAAGCACCTTGTGTAGGTATTGAAGATTTACACCTTCAACTAAATCACACAATTTTCCATGATAGTTTTTCCCCCATAAGGGGCTATATAGTTGTACTATACACTGGCCAACAAGGAAAGGTACAAAGCATTCTACTGGAGGTCAACATTTCAAACCAATATTTCCTATTTCATTTTGATTAACACATCTAGAAGAACAATCTGTTAAGCTATAGAATATTTGGTTCTTCTGCTTTATTTTAGATATATGACACCAATACTGAAACAGACAGACAATGGATTCCCCCAACTATTCTACAGTGGCTTTGAAAGTTAGTTTTTTCCAAGAAAAACATCTTAATTTAAGAAAATCCCATAAAGAGATGGTGCATGTCTATGGTGGATTGTGAGTATCAGGCAAATCATTCCTACATCTATTCTTCCTCTACTGCAATCTTCTCCAACAACTAGATAGAATTATATATTTTACATCTACCAATATTACATGCAAATATAACACACCAGAAGAAGAAATGAGGTCACTATAGTTATCTCCTGCAATCACTTGAAACCATCAAATAAATTGTATGTGCTGGAATCATCCAAACTATAGATAAATTATTAAAATTTCAAGTTTAATTAGTCCATAATCTGACCAACAGTAAAATTTGTGCAAGCCTACTTACCTAACTTTTTGAGATTAGGAAGCATATGTACAACAAAAAGGCGATAATCTGATTCATTTTTAACAACAGGATTCAGTCGGAAATCCACAACTTGAAGTGCAGTTAAATTGTGGAGTCGTAGCACTTCTGATAAAGAGGAGATGTGATTGAAGTAGAGATTGAGCTTTTCTAAGTACGTGAGATGTTTAAGGCCCTGTTTTAAAATATGAATAAACTTACTCAGTGAACTTACTCTTGTAAAATGACTAAAATGACTAAGACTAAGATTCTCTTTTTCATACATATGTTTTATAATACCTGTGCAAAAAGTGGGAAAATTTACATCATGCAATTTGCTCCCCTTGGCACTTTATCACCTTCTACATCTACATATAGTGGATGCCTCTGTAAAGAGGATATCTCAGATGAGAACTGAAATAATGATTATTTCTCAGTATCTCACCCTTGTCAAGATATTTCAGATGTGTAGGCTGCTAAATTATAGATCAATTTACAATTATGCATAAAAGTTGGTGAACTCTATTGAATTTTCAATGTTTCTGCATAAATATACTCTAAAATATTATTTATTTTGCACACGTGCCAAAACTAAACAAAGAGAACTATGTTAAACAAATTAGTCCAAAAACGTTATATTTCTTCATTTATTCATTGAAGAAAATTGCTCACCTGAACTAAAATAAATACTTTAACACATAGGGAATGCCTTTTATTTTCCACATTTTAAACATTTGCCTCAATAGTCCCTTTACTACTTGTTACAAAGTAGTAAATAACAAGTAGTACTTGTTATTCTGCACATATGGAAAATCTCTACACATGTGCTTTATTATATCAGGATATTTTCATGCCAGGACCATTTCAATTGTTAGGTAGTAAACAGATATATTTAATAAATCCAAAAATAAAATCCCCAAATATACAATGGAAAATATGCAAACTCCCAAAATTTTTTACCTCCAATGTAATCAGTGCATTGCGTGAGAGGTCAAGAGATTTCAGATAAACAAATTTTTTCAAGGAATTTCCTAAATGAGTGATCTTTTCATATATTCCAGGAAGAGACAATGATCGGATATCAGCTGAAATGGAAACATTGCTGGCAATTTAATATGACTTACTTTTGATAATATTTATAAAAAGGAAGCGGGGAATCAGACATGTACAGCAGGTTGGGGGGGGTTAAAAGAAAGAATTACCATTAGAGGAGAATATTTGTAGCTCTGAGTTGAACTATGTAACATCATCATAATTCCTTGATTGGTGTGCTGTTTATGGCAAGAACTACTAACTCAAATAATCGTAACGTAAACAATGGGCTAATAAGAACCATGGAGAACACTCTCTCCAGCACTAACAGGGCAAGCCACATAACCGCATATAGGCACAGAGAACAAATCCCACTACATTTTAGCATTCATTATATATTATCTAGTTGTGTAACTAAGCTTAAAGAGTACTAAGGACCTCACAATCAAAAGAAGTGTAAGGCATGATTTTGGCCATTGCCTCCAACTTCAAAAATGTAAATTAAAACATTCCATGTAAATGGCTACCTACTCTCTGTTTGCATATATTTATTGAAGAGAAGCCTATCATTTGCTTAGATTATTGATTCTATTGCAAAGTGATTTAATGACTATTAATTTTTTTATAATAAATTCTGCCTATCCTTCCCAGAAATCCATTACAGGTAATGCTCAACTTACAACCATTCATTTAGCCGTTCAATAGCACTGAAAAAAAGTGACTGACTGCTTGCACTTACAATCATTGCAGCATCCCTATGGTTATTTGATCATAATTCAGACATTTCACAACCTGCATATATTTAGAAAGGTGGCAGCATGCTGAGGTTATGTGATGGCAACCTTCCTACCCAGCTTCCAACAAGCAAAGTGGCAGAATTCACTTCATGACCATACAATTCACTTAAAACTGCAATTATTTGGTTAACAACTGTGACCAAAAAGGTCATAAGATTGGGTACAACTCATTTAAATAACCACCTTGTTTAGCAATGGGTATAGGGACGTGGTGGCTCAGTGGCTAAGACACTGAGCTTGTCAATCAGAAAGGTCAGCAGTTCAAATCCCAAGTGCTGTGTAACAGAGTGAGCTCCTGTTACTTGTTCCAGCTTCTGCCAACCTAGTTCAAAAGCACGTAAAAATGCAAATAGAAAAATAGGGACCACTTTGTGGGAAGGTAACAGTGTTCCATGCACCTTCAGTCTTTAGTCATGCTGGCCACATGACCACGAAGATGTCTTCGGACAGCGCTGGCTCTTCAACTTTGAAACAGAGATGAGCACCGCCTCTTAGTCAGGAACAACTAGCATAAATGTACGAGAGGAACCTTTACCTTTATCTTTTTAGAAATGGATATTCTGGTCTCAAATTGAGAACTACCTATATGCTTTCTACTTGCATAGACATCCTCACACATCCAAATATACACGAGACACATATACACAATCATACAACTTTTTTACAACTATAGTACCCATAACTGATATTTAGTTTGTAATCTCTTATTCTAGATTCATTTCCTCATGCACCAACCTAGCTATTTCCCATCTTATGTAACTGCTTTTTAAATGAAGACCATATATTTGTCTCTGGTGTTTTTTTAGCCAAATGAAAAATATAATAAAAGGCCAGTCCAGCACAATACCACTGAAAAAGAAAAACAAGAAATTGAAGAAGAAACCAGCATGGTTGCACAAAGATCTCTCTGATAAACTGAATGACAAAACAGGATAAGTACAAAAAATGAAAGAGGGACACCTAACTGAGACAGAATATCAGCAGATAGCCAAGTTCTGCAAAGATGAAGTCAGGAAAGCAAAGGCTCAGAATCAACAAAGTCTTGCAACAAAAGTCAAAGATGATTTTTAAAAGTTTCTTTTAACATATAAATAACAATTAAAAAAAAAAAAGGAAACAGTCTGTCCACTAAAGAGAGAAGATGGCAAGAGAATAACAGGCAGTACAGAGAAAGCAAAGCTGATTAGCTAATTATCTGCATCAGTCTTCAAGAGAAAAGAAACTATAGCCTTACCTACAAAAAATATAACTGCAAAAAAAACACTAGAAATAAAAGTTAGAATAAGCCAAAAAAAACGAGAAGGGGGTTAGAGAACATCTGTCTGATCTTGATGAATATAACTCACCAGGACAGATTTAACCCAAAGTTCTAAAGGAACTGGCAGAAGTCATCTCAGAACTATTATACTATATCTTTCAAAAATCCTGGAGCATGGAAGTACCTGACAATTGGAAAACGGCTCATGTGGTTCCCATCTTCAAAAAAAAAAAAAAAAAAAAGGAAAACAACAGACTCAGGAAATACAGATCAGCCTAACATCAATACCTGGGAAGATATTAAAAAAGATAAAAAAACCAGATCTGCAAACATCTAGAAACAAATAAAGTAATAACTAGACATCAGCACGGGTTTGTTAAAAACAGATTATGCCAAACCAATTTTATTTAATTCTTTGACAAAGTGACTAAATTAGTAACTCAGCAAAATGCTGTGGACATAATATACTTAGATTTCAGCAAGGCGTACAGCAAAGTAGATCATAACCTACTTTTTGGTAAGCTAGAAAAAGTAGGTAGATAACATCACCACCACATGGGTTTGTAACTGGCTGACAAATAATACTCAACAGTCCTTAATGGTATGTCTACATGGAAGGAAGGAAGCAGTGGGGTACCACAAGGTTCTGTCTTAGGCCCAGTACTCTTCAATATCTTCATAAATAATTTAGAAGAGGGAACAGAACAGGAACTTATTAAATTTGCAGATGATAATAAACTGGCAAGAGTTGCCAACTGCCTAGATGATAGGCTCAAGTTACAGGTGGATCTTAGCAGACTAGAACCCTGGGCCCTATCTAACAAAATGAAATTCAATGTAGAGAAAAGTAAAGTATTAAACTTTGATAAGAAAAAACAAACATGCACATATAGATTGGCTTAATAGCAGCAACTGTGAAGGGAACTTGGAATCTTAGTGGACAATCAATGAAATATGAGCTAGGAGAGTGTGGTGGCAGCCAAAAAAGCTAATGCAATCCCTTCGGGGAATAGGGCGGCTTACAAATTGAATAAATACCAATACTAATCCTAAATTGTATTGATTGATTGATTATGGAAGGTAATCAATCAAGATTACATAATGTATTAATACCACTCTATAAATCCTTAGTAAGACCACATCTAGAACACCTAGAGGTAGGTTGTTCGCGATTCGGCCCAGATCGGTCGAACCAGTAGGGGTGGTGGCAGGAGGTTCCACCCACCCAGCCCGGACGCTTCTGCACATGCACAGAAGTATCATGTGCATGAGCGCTCACGCTCGCAAACCAGTAGCACTCTACCAATTCTCTGCACTCTAGAAAAAATGCAGAGAAGAGCAACAAAGATGATTAGGGGAATGGGGCTAAAACATGAAGAACTGTTGCAGGAACTGAACATGGCTATTCTAGTGAAGAGAAGGATCAGGGATGAGATGATAGAAGTGTTCTAATATTTGAAGGGTTGTCACAGAGAAGGGGGGGGAGGGTGTCAACCTATTTTCTAAAGCACCTGAAGGCCAAACAAGGAATAATGGATGGAAACTAAACAAGGAGAGATTCAACCTAGAAATAAGGAGAAATTTTCTAATAGTGAGAACAATCAACCAATGGAACAGCTCGCCTTCAGAAGTTGTGGGTGCTTCATCACTGGAAACTTTCAAGAGTTTGGATATCCATCTGTCAGAAATGGTACAGGGTCTCCTGCTGGATCATGGGGTTGGAGGTGGACTACAAGGTGCCTTCCAACTCTGTTATTCTATTCCTATTCACTTTATAATAGTAACTAGAAGCTTGAATTGTACCTGGAAGCATTCACTCATGAGGATGGAAAATTGTAACAGGACATCATAATGCCTATTGTTTAATTTAAGTACTTATGTCAGATGTGATACAAGTAATAAATTGTATTCTTTGTGTGATAATGCTATAATTTTGATATCAAATGGGAAACCTTAAAACACAATACACATATAGCATTTCTATTATCTATTTTAAAATATTCCTAGACAGAATTGCCCTGTAGCTTTGGATCCTCCCATCCCCACCTACAATCCATCGAAAATACAATATGTATTGCTCTCCTACAGGACAATTGATTCATATTAAAATGAGCCCAATTCTTCTAATTCTTAAAAGAATTGATAAATACTAAAGGAACGTTTTCCTGAAAGATCATTCTTCCCCCTATTAGGAAGTGATCTAGCAAATAATACAATCGAACATCTTCATTTAATTTCTCTATTTCCTCTGCCCGTCTTTTGCCATCTCTTCCTACTACGAGGCAAAACGGCGACTAAAAAAGCCTTTTTCTCTCGCAGCCATGTTCCAACTTCCCACGCCCAAAAGCTGGATGATCACCGAGATTTTGGCGCCTCAGGTTAACTCTCTCTCGAACATCTTCCTCAGTCAATAAGATTCCGAGGGCAGCCGTGGTTTTCAAATAGTTAGATACATACATAACAAACTCTAACTCCGCATAGCAGACAAATCAAAACTAATGCCGCGAGTTGATGCAGCAGCCTTCAAAACAAAAGAAAGTGCGCGTGCGCCCGATCGAACTGAAGAACCAATTAAAATATGTATGAGTTTGAACTGCCCTATGGAAGTGCTCAGGTACTCAGGTAGATTCTCTCCAGTTCCTAGGCAACGGTACGCAGGTAAACCCGCTATTCCGTAGATATGGAGGGGTGGTTGCATAGATCTAACTATACAGAACATCCAAAATGATGAAGATTGGGATTCTGCATAGTCTATGCCCAGATTCACAAACTGAAATCATTTTAATCTGCTGTAAACCATATTAAGCAACTGATATGACAGTACTATTTTAAAAATATTTTTAAAATGGAGCTGCCAGTCCATCTTGCTCTTTCAAATCTTGTATAATCTTGAATTTAATTTTTGTCTTTCATTGGACCACGTATAAATTGTTATTTGTTTATGCCAATTATTTAATAGCAGTATTTTAATGGAATCATCAGGAACAGAAAATATTTGTAAAATATTCATTTTAATGGCTTGCAATTATTTTTAACCAATCCTTGTCCAAATTCAACTTGTGATACAGAATTTCATGTGAATTTTTTTGTTAAATGAGGTCACCTTAAGAACTGCTTTATTGATAAAAAAAAGCAAAGATTTCAGATATTTGTGGATTTAGATTCTTTCCTAAAATTTGCATTTAGATGCTGTATTTAATCTCGTTGATACTTGGACTTCTAACTATTCCTAGTAAAATGTTATATTTTAGAGTTTGGATATGTAAGTCCAAGAATTTTTTTTGTGTGTGTGTGTGTGTGTGTGTGTGTGTGTGTGTGTGTGTGTGTATCCATTTCTACAATTCTATGTAGTAGGAGAATTTAACTTCATAATTAACATTCTTCAAAAATATGGGACAAAAAAGATGACTTTGAATTCTTAATCAGGAAGAAAAATAAGATTTTATGATTATTACTGGCAATTTAGCATGTAATTTCCAACATGGAATATAGCAAATGAAGTATAGAAATCATTCAAAAGAAGTAAAGTGCAGTAGAAAAATAGGAATTGAATACAATTACATGGATGAATAGTCTTATTCAATTTCAGGTGATCAAAATCCATATGTTTTTTAGTTTAATAGATTTAATTTAAT